GAGACAGGGTCTCATTATGTTGCCCAGGCTTGTCTCAAACTCCTGGCCTCAAGCAATCCTCCTGCTTTGGCCTCATGAGTAGCTGGGATTTCAGGCACAAGCCACAGGCTCATTTCATCCTACACATATATTCCCAGGCTCATTCTTCTATTTTCATGGCTCCCAATACCTCATATTTTCTTTCTTAATCTCAGATCCCCAAGTGTCCTACAACTAACTAGACTTATTTACCTGGAACTATAAAAAAATGCCTCAAATTTAACAAGCCCCAAACTGAATCTCCCTCTAAAATCCTTTGGCCCTACCATTTTGTTTCGTTTTTGTTTTGTTTCTTTTGATTAAATTGCCCAAACTCAGAAACCTAAATTGCTTTTTTATTGTTTTACTTTTTACTTATTATGTCACCTGCAATAGGAAACCTAAATTTACCTTCACTCCTTCCTTTCCTTGTCTCCTCTAAGTATGTCCAAGTTTTATTTTACTTTATTTTATTTTATTTTATATTTTGAGACAGAGTCTTGCTCTGTCCCCTAGGCTGGAGCACAGTGGTGTGATATTGGCTCACCACAACCTCCGCCTCCTGGATTCAAGCGATTCTCCTGCCTCAGCCTCCCAAGTAGCTGGGATTACAGGCATGCACCACCATGCCCAGCTAATTTTTGTATTTTTAGTAGAGACGAGGTTTCACCATGTTGGCCAGACTGGTCTCGAACTCCTGACCTCAGGTGATCCACCAGCCTCAGCCTCCCAAAGTGCTGGGATTACAGGCATAAGCCACTGTGCCTGGCCAAGTATGTTAATTCTATCAAAGAAGTGTCTCTGAATTCCCTCCCTCTGCTGCCCTGCTCTCCTTCACCACAGCAGTAATTCAGCCCCTAAACCACTCCCTAATACTCTATCTACTTCAACTTCCTCCTAAATAATCACCCGGCTTCCAGTATTCTCCCATCCAGGCATTTCTGATCTGTTTTTCAGGTGGCCACAAGAACAATCACGCTAAAACAGATCTGATCACTTCTATTCCTGAGAAACTTCCACTAGTGTCCCACTGAGCTTAGACATCTTAACATACTGTAAGAGACTCTTCTCAACCAGATCAGCCCACCTTTACAGCTTCATCTCTAGCTGCTCTCTCAGAGACCATAAACCAATAAGGGCCATGTACAGCTCACATCCATACTTTTGCTAGAAATAAAAAATCTGGCCAGGTGCAGTGGCTCACACCTATAATCCCAACACTTTGGGAGGCTGAGATGGGCAGATCACCTGAGGTCAGTAGTTTGAGACCAGCCTGACCAACATGTTGAAACCCTCTCTCTACTAAAAATATGAAAATTAGTCAGGTGTGGTGGCGGACGCCTGTAATTCCAGCTACTCAGGAGGCTGAGGCAGGAGAATCACTGGAACCTGGGAGGCAGAGGTTGCAGTGAGCCGAGATCACGCCATGGCACTACAGCCTAGGTGACCGAGCAAGACTCTGTCTCAAAAAAAAAAAAATCTTCCCCTGTCCAAGCAGAGCTGCTTCCTCCTCTGTAGTCTTATAACACTTTAAACAGGCTTAGATCATGGTACAATGTGTTATTAATGTTCATTGTTACATTAAAAAACTATTATAAATAGCAGGTAAGTTTGTGACTCTGAAGCAAAAACACCTGGGTTTAAAATCCAAGTTGGGGGCAACCCGCTCGGGTCCCCTTCCACACTGTGGAAGCTTTATTCTTTTGCTCTTCGCAATAAATCTTGCTGCTGCTCACTTTAAAAAAAAAAAAGAAAAAGAAAAAAAAAATCCAACTTGGGTGACCATCCCTGATTATTCATCTATAAAATACAGACAACAATTTTTATAGGGTTTTATGAAGATTAAATTATGAAACAGAAACTGCTAGCAAAATGCCTAGAACACAGAAGGGGCTCATCAAATGCTGGCTACCATAATATCATCTGCCTTTCAAGGCTATGGGCTATTCAAGGGCTGGAACTCAAGGGCTGGAACTCAGTTTCA